TAATTCACCGATTTGACATCTCTAGTTGAGACTTCTGTCCCGACTAAATAAAAAATTTGCATTCTAGTCTTGAATACTTTCAAATGACATAACTCACCACGCACATTATTTTCAGAAAATTTTGGAAACCATTGTCTCTAAACTAATGTACTTAAAACAAATGACCTTAGTTTGTATTTCGATTTTTTTTTTTTAATTTATTGATCTCTCTCTCTTTCTTCAAATTGGTTATAAGGATAAACATTCGGCAGAAATATTCAAAGAGCACCAAAGCATCAAATCTAAGGAGGTAAGAACAACTGTAATGCGCCATTCCAAGATGTCTTGCCCAGCAACCTGGTCATATGTTTCTTATAGATGTCTTGCAGCAACCTGGTCATATGTCTCTTATAGATGTCTTGCAGCAACCTGGTCATATGTCTCTTATAGATGTCTGGCCCAGCAACCTGGTCATATGTCTCTTGTAGATGTCTTGGTCTCAGTAACCATGTCTGCTGCCTCCGGTCATCTCCAAAGTAAATATTTCATTGCTTTCGGGCCGGCTAAATTCAATTTATTCAATTCAGCTTTTTCGATACTCTCCCTTCCTCTTTTAAGTGTATTAAGCTAGGTTCAAATAATATTATTTACATATTTATAGTGACGAATACTATAAAATTTTAATTAAATAGAGTTATTAAATTATTGTACATTCTAATATTAACTAGATTTCAGTTTTAATCCAATAATTATAATTAGTTAAGTCCAAATAACATTTTTCATAATTATGTAATCTCACGATCATTTTTTTTTTTTAAAAAAAAGGAAGAAGTAGATCAACTTAGTTACTTCAGTTTTCATTAATATTGGAGAACCATCCCAAACCATGATCTTTTTGGATAACACAAATCTCATATGGATATAACCACCCGCTAAACACAAATACGGGCAACTTGGGTTTTAAGCTGATAGAGAATTTAAACTCTTGGGGCATGTTTGGTATGTGGGTTTGGGAGGGTTTTGAATCCTGGGTTAGGGATTAAATCCCCTTAAACCCATGTTTGGTAACTATGTATTTAGTCCAGAGTTTGAAACTCGGTCCGGTCATGAAACCCACATACTTGGATTTCATGAAACTCAAGGAGGGTGGGTTTCGTATGTGGGTTAATGAGTTTAACATACAAATGACATTTATATCATCGTATATCCTATATATACAAATTATTGAGGGACACAATAGTTATTTATATACAAATATATTATTATAATAGTCATATATCTCTGCGCATACCAAACATGAGTATGTACAGTATTGAATGTTAAATCTCATGTTTGATCAAACTCGGATTTGGACAAGTCAATTCAAACCCCTCCCAAAAAACGTACCAAACATATTATCGAGTTTATGTCTTGTGCTTTGTTTAACTACTGAACACCTGATATGAGTTTGTCACTTGAATTTTTACTAATGGGAAAAAATCTCTAACAATTTGGTTAGTACAAAGACCAAAAAAAAAAATAATGAAATAAATAAATCAAAGGATAATACGAAACACTAGCATCTACTTGGTTTGATAAAAAATCTTGCCGACATTCACGAATGTGATCCGGTTTACTTTCTTTATTATGGAGAAAAGTCGACTCAACTTTAATACCCAAACTCCAGTCCTTAATTTCTCTTATAACTCCCTCAATCTTACCACTCTCAAACCTCTATAAATAATCCCACTCACTTGGAAAGAGAAACCCTCTTAAAAGTTCGATTGCTGAATCAACTAGCGTGAGTTTGCCACTTGATATTTTACATATGTCCCTTTACAAAGTGCTTGTGTTTCTTTGTTGTGGATATTGGCATGACGGCATGGCCAGAGCTCATGGGCGCACACGGGCCGGACGCGGCAGCTACTATCGAGAAACAGAACAAGAAAGCTCCGGCCACTATTATAGAAGAAGGTACGGTGGTGATCTTTGATATCCGCTGCGACTGGGTTCGAGTCCATGTGGCGATGCCATCATGTGAACAAGGTTCCTATAGTTGGTTAGCAGCCAGTAGCAAGGTTTTACTGTGTTGGATTGATTATTGTTTGCAGTGAGTGGTATTTTGAAGGAACTGCTTTGTAGTGTGCTAAACATTATTTGTATTCTGTGGTATTTACCAAGATATGATGTTATTATATAATGACTTATGGTTCTTTACTTGAAGAGCACCTCACTGTTATGCTACAAATACAATGATTTGAGGGTGAATGTTTCTTCGACTGTCAAATATTCACCTACACCACAAGGGTATCTATAATTTTCTTATTAACATATCGTCTATCTATTTAAATGGGAGTTATTGTATACAAGTGAGTTTTTCACTCAGGAATGGATGATGATTCACCAAGAAGAGAATTGAAGAGTCTAATCCTGATCCAGATAACTGATATAGGTGGTCCCAATGAGTTTCAGATCCTTGATCCCAATTTTTAGTGTTTCAATTTTTAATTCTCAAAAATATTACACGGCTTCTCGTAGTTGGCAGCATCATCGGTCGTCGGACCTTAGTTGAGATTTCCGGCTATTTTGCTAAAGAGGGAAGATGAGATATTCGATTGTATATATTGTGGGTTCCTTGAGTGATTCGAAGACGTGTAGCCAGAACTTGGTTGCTTATTGGCAGAGATGAATGGAATGACGATGGGAAAAGGGCAAAAAAGTCCTAAAAAAGTTGGGGAATGAAAAAAAAAAAAAACTAAACTACTTGGCATAATTTTAATGACACGGCAAATCCATGTCAAATGCCACGTCATTAAGTCTATATTTTATGTCTGAAAAATGCTATGCACATCAAATTTTTTTTATGTCTTCATTGTATTTCCGAATAGTATTACTGAAGACAATTTGTGGTTAGTACTAGTCGTACATTAAGATGTTGTTTGGTAAGAGGGAATGGGTCTGATAAGTTTAAAGAAAATAGTTCAAAAATCCCTCAAATTTCATGTGTCATATGAAAAATTTAATCTCAGGTTTTTAAATCCAACTCATAGTAGACCAAAAGATTAAACTCATGATCAGGGGTTTCATCAAACCTAGGAAGGGGATGAATTTGAGAAGATGGATAAAGGGTTAAGGATCTAAAAGATAATTGTATCTCTTAATATGAGTATGAATTAAATTAATTAAGGGTAAAACAGTTATTTATAGGACAAATAGTTGTTAATAATTATGATATATTCTTAAGTCCTACATATATATGTGTTGCATATCAAATATAAGTATAAATGGATTAAATGTTGAATCTCATCTTTGTGAAGAGGGGTTTAGGTTTAAAAGGGTTTAGAGAAGCCAATCCAAACCCCTCCCAAAAATTCATCCAAACAAGCCTTAAAAGAGGTGAGATTGGGTTTGTAGGTATATTGGGATCACCGTGAGATTAACTTGAGTAAATTAATTTCATATTAATCAAAGATTCAAATCAATCGTCATTGTTCAAATGGTTGATAGTGTTTAAAAAGGGGTTCTCATCGTTAATTTTCACATTTGATTGAGAAGAGGTAATTGAAGTAGATATAAGTTTTAATTGACAATTATTTGGGTTAAATTCGAAAAACCTATTCACCTCCTCTAGTTGTAAGTGCATGTTGTGGCAAAATATATTAATCGAGATTGCAAATTAATTTTTGGGTTTTATGTTGTTTGGGATTATCTTTTTGTTTCATTATTTGTGTTTGTTGTGCTAAGAGAGATACTTAAGATGATAGAATATATATTGGATGGGATGATTTTGAGCCAATGTTGAATGTGTTACATGGATTGAAGTAGTTAAGCAAGTCGTATTAGTCATGTTGATTGTGTTTAGGAGGTTGGTAATAAGCTTTTTTATGGCTGAGGGTTTTCAATGGGAATCCAACACGACTTGACCATTACCTTTAATTTAGACATAATGAAGAGTTTTTTTGGTGATATTTTTTGTTGCATGATGCTTTCATGCACATGTTCATCGCTAATCGCTAGTTGTATTATACGTCCACGAGGGTCATGAAAATTACCAAAAAGAACCTAGTAGATTTTTGGGAATACAATTATATTAATTAAAATTGACGAAATTCGAATTTCAAATAGCTGGATCTTGTAATTAGAGCCCAATCTGACAACATCATTTCACAGAGTTGGATAAGCCCAAATTTCTAATTTTATTCTCAACTTATTTAATTTTTTATTATCAAATTATTAAGTTCACTCTTTCTATAACCACCACATTGGTAATTAAGTACATTACATGCTATAGATATACCTTTAACAAATAAGAAAAAAAAAAGAAGGAAGGCAAATCTATCAAAATCCAAAAAAAATAAGAAAGAAAATTCAAGAAAGGACGAAATCAAGAAAACAAAGGAAAAAGTCTATTGTCAAAAAAATAAAAATGAAGCAAGCTTTATAATTCATACAGTTTATATGACAAAGGCTAATTCACAAGCGAAAACAAGTTTTCTATTGAAATAGTCTTTATTGCCACTTTTTAAAACAATCTAAATGCACCCGCGCACACACACATATACACATAAATCCTAAATCAAAAATTATTAAATTTAACAAAGATATCAAAAACACAATAAAAATAATGGAAATTCACACAACACACGTGAAATCAAATATCGAATTAAATCATAAAGTAATACTAACTTACATCTCCTTAGAAAACTTCATATTGAAAAAGTATTTTTGTAACTATATGAGATGAGATAATTAATGAAACTCTAATTGTGAGATGATATAAGATGAATTTATTTATTAAAGGAGTATATATAGTATGAGGTGAACTTAGTTATTAATAGGGTAAATATAGAAAAAGTGGACTTAGTATTTTGATAATACAAAAATAAATGGGATAATGGGTAAAAGACCACCCACTTAAATACAATAAATTCCCCTTAAATTCATCATACTAATCAACTAAGAATAAAAATAGAGAAAAAAATATATCTGAGGAAAATCCATCCCTTATATTTGGTAAATTTTTTAGTAAACATAGCTGTCCCCTTCAATGCTAATGCAAGAGATTGAACTTGAAAGAGACTTTGAGGATGCAGAGATCCTCCTCAGCCATACAAAAAAGAAGTGGTAGTGAAGCTACTTAAACTCAACTTCTAAAACCAGACAATATGGTACCTCTCCCATGGCTTCATCAGCTACACCGGCTTCTTTCTCTCTCCTACTAAGGCGCCAAGGTGGCAGCCACCGTGAGCGGTGGCCAGCAATAAAAGTTGGAACAAGAAAAACAAATCGCCACCGTTTGTACGTTTTCGCCGCCGCTCAAGGCTCAAACCGACGACAAAGAGCCCCTCCCGGAGTTGATACAAGAATTCATTGGAAGAATGAAGATGAAGGGTGGATTGGAGGGAATAACTCACAGTCCACACAGGAGCGCCTCAAATCAGAAGAAGAGCAGAAGAATCACTTGGGTGAAAAATTCTCTGATTTGCTTAACAGTTCAACCGATTCGCATTACCAGTAAGTCCCGTTCTTATATAAGTGCACTTATGGCTGTCAAATTGAATTCTTGTCGTATTTTTTTTACTCAATTTATGCTCGATTCTTTTATAATTATGTATAGAATAGGTGGGTTTTTTGTTCTCTCCTAAGAAAGAAATAAAGGAGAAGGGGTAGATGTTCTGATGTTGCTGGTTAAACAAAGATTGCAAGAGATGAACCTAGAAAAAGCAAACATGTTACTGATTTTACAGAAATTACAAGAAATTATACTTGGAACAGAAAAACAATTGTGCATGGTACATGCTACAAATAGCTTATTCTGTTGGAATTTATGCTTCATGAGTGCTTTGGGTTGGGCGTATTTGGGTTCAAGAATGAGGTTGTCAATTATATGCTGCAAATAGGGCATAATATCAATGCTGTTTGAATATCTGCTTCAGGACTGGCTTGGGCATCTGTCTGTCAAAGAATAAGTTTGCCACAATTGTTTAAAATCTGAATTGTAAATCTGTTTGGGATTGATCAGATTCTTGGGAGTATCTGCAGAAGCCGATTTGGAAGAGATTAAAGCTGCCTACCGGAGGTTATCCAAAGAGTACCATCCCGACACAACGTCGCTTCCTCTAAAAGCAGCATCGGACAAGTTCATGCAACTCCGAGAAGTTTATGACATCTTGAGCGATGAAGAGAAGCGCAGGTTTTACGACTGGACACTTGCTCAGGAGGCTGCAAGCCGCGAAGCTGAGAAAATGAGAATGAAATTGCGAGATCCATACATGCAAGATGTGGAGAACTGGGAGTCTGTTCCTGACATGGTGGATCGTCTCGGTGGAAGAAACATGAAGCTAAATGATCAAGCAAAGTCAGCTCTCACCTTTGATATTTTCATCATTGTTTTTGCAATTTGTTGTATCGTCTATGTGATTGTCTTCAAGGAACCAAATTACTAAGCAGATATAACATGATACTCTGTCAATATAGGAACTTTCTGTGTTGTATAGCACAATCTGGAATCCTTGCATATGCAAGACATACACATACTGTAAGATAATCCAATTTTGGTTTTCTTTTTAAACCAATCTCATAAGAGCTCATATTGCAATCCTTATGCAGTATCCTATAAAGGATATGATATGCCAATAGTAAAGCTTCTCCCCAGAGATTATTAGGAAGACCAGAACTTATTAAAAGTTAGTTCACCATGTCAGTTAAAGTTCTATTAATTCTTTCCTTCAACAAGTCCATTTCGTTGAGAAGTATAAGGAGCAGACACCTCATGTCTAATTCCATGAGTTTCACACAAAAACTTTAAACTCATTCAGTAAGTATTCTACCCCACGATCACTCCTCAACGCTTTTATCTTCTTGCCAAGTTGATTCTCAGCTTCGGTTTCATAGATTTTAAACTTCTCAAATACTTCATCTTAAATACACCCAAGTGTATTTAGAAAAATGATCAATGAAGGTTAGAAAATATTTCTTTCCTCCATGAGTCACGTAAGTCTTAAGATTAGACAAATCAGAATAAACAAAGTTCAACAGTTCTGAAGTACGATTAACTTGATGAAATGACTTATGCAGTATTTGTGACACCTCACATTTAAAAATATTACTATCATTTCACTTTGGAATCAAACATAGAGTACTCATATGCTTAATAAATTGATAATACACATGTCCTAATCTATTATGCCACAAATATAAAGAATCAAGCATGTAAATAGAAGACATAACTACACACATACACTAATTTGAACCTTGCCTTAGTTAAGAGATCACCAGATAAAAGATCTTTCCTCTCCTAATGTTTAAGCTTCTTTTTGTCATTCCAAGAAGGAGGCAACTTTGCAATGATGACAATGGTTTGAATAATATTCAAATTTATGAGAGTTGTAGGGACGAAGATGCGGGTAACAAGTGCAACCAAAAACCCACAAAAGGGCATAATCCATTGGTTTGCTTTATAGCTTTTCCAAAAGTGAAAGATTCTTCAATAGTGGAGTGGGCAGCCAATTAGTCAGATAATAGACTAATTGGCCAATGCAACACTTCCGTAAATAGGTGGATGCAGTCTGATACTCACCGCCCCAATCAGTGTGGAGAAATTTAATTCGGGTTTTAAACTATTTTCAATCAATGATTTAAAATAAAGGATCAGTCACCGGTGTGGACAATGGCGGAAAGGGAAAACATGACTCTTAACTTGTGGACAAGCATCACAAATTGCATGCCTTTTTTTTCGGGAAAAGGCGTCCCAAGCTGCTTCATCACTTGATAAACTGTTTTAAAAGTAGGATGACGGAGACGTTCATTCCTACCAACAGGGGATTGGTGAAGAAGTACCACCTTATTATTGGTACCACCTTAAAACTCAACATTTAAAATGAGCTTCCCATCAATACAGTATAAGTGATTCTTTAAGCCATTGAGTACATTACTTACCAACAAAGAAAAAAAGGCAATTGAGTAACAGGGACACCAATTGAATTTTTCAAAATCTCAATCAATCCTTTTATCAGTTAATAAATCGATTTTTCCAAAGCAAATGCCCCAGATGTTGATACCCATAATTTCAACGTACTACATAGATAACTAAAAGAGAAAACACATAAATCTATCATAATTATCACATTATCACTGTCAAGTAATATCACTATCTTACTCTGCTTGCACTTGGTTGCCGAGATATTGTCCCCCCCCCCCCCCCAAAAAAAAAAAAAAAAAAGGCAAAAACTCCCATCATCCTAGCCACAACTGCATCTTCTAGAAAGAATTTTCATTGATAGTCTAATTCACAATTATACAAACTTACAGAATGTAGAGAACACCCAAACTTCCCGAGAGAATCGAGCATTATTGTCGAGCAAGAAAACAGACATGGGGCCTCTACCCAGTATATGGAACACTAAAAACAATGTGGTAAAGGAAGAGGTCAACTGGATATATGAACAGTGATTGATGAGAGGGTACAGGCAATCTATCAACTAACACTTAACCCTTCTTATCATTGTTAAGTACTCTCCGCAAATGAAAAGCTTCACCTTGATCCCCATTCAAGGACCTCCTCTCCAAGAAGCAAGCAGTTAGCTGCCTAAGTAACCTCTCTAGACATGAATGCAGGCAACAACTTACATCTTTACCATTGGGATTTGTCGATAATATCATGGCATTAACTGCATCAGCCACAAGCTCTCGTTGCGATTCTTCAAGAAGATATCCAACTGAGGACTTCTGTGGTTGTTCATAGGCCAACAAAGCAGCACAGTCCTACATGCAAAGGGGGAGAGAGAGAGAGAGAGAGAGAGAGGGAGAGTGAGAGTGTGTAAATCATATTCACAAATTTTAGTCCAGCTAGAAAGGTGATGAATATCTAGTTCAAACTACAGTAACAAAACTGCACGTCCAAATTAGTACCAATAAGCCGAACTTGGCTAAAATCAATCATATTTAACTTAAACTTTCAAAAATGTTCACAGCAAAAACACCCCTGTCATAGGCCCACTTAAATCCCAAGCATACACCTGTTATAATGCACTTAACTGTGTTCTATTCCAACAAGTATAGAGATTACACCATACATAGCCAACAAGGATACAAAGCTTTTCATGTAGTTATTTTGCTGGTTTTGACAACCAGCTCCAAAATATGTGACAAAAACTGGAATTTGAAGGCAGAAATTAATATGTGACACACATATATACTGTGCTTAAGAAAAAATTTCTTTCATACCTTAACCAGATCATCAAATTCTGCCAACCGATAAAATTTTTCAAACTCAGCCCTTCCATATGCCACAGCGTCCTCCAACTGCCCAACCTGCAGAGAAGACAAAGGTATCTCAAGCTTCACAATTTAGAAATTTCATTCTTCTCTGATATCAACGATGATATTTCTATTACACGAATACTTGGTGAATTAAGCAGTGACCCAACTAAATCTTAAAAACGCATGAGTTATGACAATTATAGTAGGACATGCAAAACTTGGAACATTGTTGCTGCAACTGATGCAAATGTTTAAGTTGCACATATGCCACAATACATCAACAAATTAAGAATATTTGGTCTGATTTACCCAAACTAATTTTAACTATCACATCATATATTTAACAAAAAAATATTAGGATTTGGACAATTAGGGCCCGTTTGATTCCCGTATGATAAAAGAATGGATTGTATAAACAATACAGACTAATTCTGCATAAATGGATAAAATATAAGATTAAATATGGGACAAAAATACTACCCATTGTAATTCAGTGTTTGTTAAGACACTGGATTAATAGTGAGATAATAAAGTACTAATTAGATATATTGACCAAAAAACTATCAATGTAATAGTTATTCATGTTTTTGTTTTTTGTTTTTTTTTCCAGAAAGTAACATGTTTTTGCTTATTTGGTGGACAAGAAAACAAATTTACAACTTAATACGCTTGAACCGGATAATAATACCATCTTTCCATGTGGTATTATAATCGGCTCAATAGTATGAGTAGGGTGTATTATTCGTATACGTATTTGAAATAAGATTATATATAATACAAAGTGTTTTTGGCAACCAAATGCAGTCTAAGGTTGGATTAGAGACTTTTAATTGTTATGATTTTGCAATCCACCCTTTAATACTATAACCAAACTATCCCTTAGGTTGGGTTTAGTTAATGCATAACAGCAGCTTCTGTTACATTTTCAGATGTTTTAGCTGTAGGAATGCATCGTTTCAACCAGAAAACAAACAGCTTTAGACCTGTTAATCCTTAATGGACTTTTTTTTTGTTTGACAATGCTTAATGGACTTAGGTAACCCAAATTGTACCATTCAACCCAAAGCTCATTTATTAGCAGCAAAAACTCATACACACACCCCGTTAGTAGGTAACTCTAGTATCAAATCGTACCACATGTCAGCTTCCAAAGAATAAAAAACCACACTCCATTTTCTACAATCAACATTCAAATACAAAATTCCTTCAACTTCAAAGGAGCATGAAATCAGCACCAAAAGCAAATAAAAATGTCCATTAATAGCTTAAGAAAAAGGCAATAAACTTCCAACCACAATATTATTTAGTGAGACACTGTATTTTTTATGTAATAAACATGAAAAAACAATTTACCCGAACCAGTTCAATGAATTTTTGGCAGTGAAGCAAAAAGCAAATAGCTGATGTAGCATCCTGCAGGGAGTAAAAGTAGTTATCAAGACATAATAGCAGAATCAATCATGAGGGGAAGAATGATAGTGCGATTTGCAGTAAAGTGGGTGAAAGATGGGATGGGAAATCATGACACATCCATATTGAATTTTAGAAGGGTGAAAGATGGGATGGGAAATCATGACACATCCATATTGAATTTTAGAAGGGTGAAAGATGGGATGGGAAATCATGACACATCCATATTGAATTTTAGAAATACAAGGCACAAGTAACGAAATTTCTCCTTTTTATGTTGGTTTTTTTGTTAGGGCGGGGGGAACAGGTATACCTATATTTCAACTTTTGAATCAACAATAAAAAAATAAAAATAAAATAAAGTCCTCATCACATAGCAGCTAAGAATGCAAAATAAAAATGGTAAATGCCACACCTATCTACAACTACTGACAATACAATCCATTTGACCTGTTGTAAACCAATGGTGTTGTGCTAACAAAACTGATGATGATGACGAACATCATTTTCAGGAAGGTGGGAAAAGCCATGGCATAATAAGGAGAAGACTCTAAGAGAAGCTCACTTTCATTGATTACCACATGATACACATTGAACTGAAAAGTTTGAAGGGTATGCTCCTCATAGAAGCGAGTATAGAATTAGGGATACATTCAGATATGACAAAGACGTGCTCCAAAAAAAGATATGACAGATACGATACAATCCTTCAGCAGCTGGGGACTGGTTTGCACAGAAGGAAGGAGACCCTAGTTCTCCTTGAAGGCCTTTAGGAAACCTGAAGCTTTTTAATGAAAACTTATTACTTAATTATGCAACAGTAAAAAGAGAGACTGCTTTAAGGCCCCATAACCACCCTTTTCAATCAATATACCATTGCAATTGGCAAGTCTTCCATCCTGTTCTTCCTAAGGATTTTTGTAACTTTCTTGTTTTCCTTTATTTTTGATTTTTTTTGTTTAGTTTAGTTTAGTTTTTTTTTTTTTTTGGTGTTGTAGTGGCGAGAACAAATTGGCAACTCTTATGTTCTGGTGGTTGGGTGGAAGCCCAAAGCTTTGGATCTCAGAAATATACACTTTATGAGACAGGTCAGAGATTTCTTGATATGCGAAAACCAAACGGACAGCGAGATTAACTACAGAGGCCACCACCATATATTTTTGCACAAATTGCCTGCTTTTAGACTCAACCGCACCCTCACACCAATTGTTCCACTAAACAAAGATAGCCCCTTGAGGACCCTCATGCTGCTGCTTCTGCGGGACTTCCCCATTGCATGATTTGAGGATAACTTTTGGGTGGTGTGTTGGTGGGTTGGGCAAAAATCCAGGTCTATAGATCTTGAGACTATGCCACCTCTATAAGGGAGATTATGATTTGGGGAACTCTTCAGAAGCAGAGGAGAAAGGAACAACCCCACCTTTTGTGAATCAGAGACTACATGGGTTCTAAGATGAACTGTGGAAGAGGCAACCATTTGGCTAAACAAGAAGAGACACTGTTATTACCTTCTAGAGGGCATTCGTACCTGCCATAACAGGGATTTGGGTGGGCCCATTAGATTTGTAAGGATTTGATGCTTTCTTTTCCTGGTGCTTGCTTAGCGTTTCACATTTTATGTGAATTGTATAACTATAACCCAGAAAGCACGGATATTAACACAGGATAGGTAATATAGACACAACAAAATATGAAAAACACGATAAAAAAAGGCCGGGATACAACTATAACCAAGTTCATTTTCACTTTTTTATTATTAAATGATGATTAAAAACCATAAATTCCAGTAATCTGAAAAGCATACAATTTTTACTTTAAAAAACATCGATCACCTCATCATGGAATAACCACAACATAAAACTAACTAATTAAAGGAATAGAGCAAGAAATAGAACCAGAATTTGTATTCAACAAGTTGGTTCACTTAGAAGTAGTACTTGAAAAAAAATAAAATAAGAGATGACTGTTGAATGCAAATTCTGGTTCTATTTCTTGTTGTTCCTTTAATTAGTTAGAGAGATGACTCCTGTATTCTTCTTGATGTCCAGATCTAAGGCAAATCTAGATTCAAAGAAATATTTATTAATCATTGGATACGTCCTAGAGTATCCAACCCATATTGTATCTAGTCCGTATCCGTTACGTATACTCAAACCTAAATGGACAGTGTGCTTCATAGGTCATACCTATAATAATACCATAAGTTATTATTCTTAGCAACAAAAAGACAAAAAGAAAAGGAACTCAATGCAATAGATGTTATGCAATGCGAAGCACTTAATAGGTTTGTCTACCACGGCAGACTAAAGATCCAAAAGTACTTTCGCATCTAAGATCAGAATCTCATAGAGTACATTTATGCTTCACAAAAGATATTATTTGTATGCAGATATGGTTTGGCATGGGTAATTAACTTATATTAGATTCTTGTTACTATCGAGTAACAAAAAGTAAAAGCTATCTTATGTTTTTAACAAATTCACTACTTGTGTGAAGATTTATAGTTAAAAATGAGACATCCACCAAAAAAGTATTCATAAAGTGATTAATCCTTATATCCAGGAGAGAGCTTGACAACGCAACACGGATATTGGATAGTAATATTAGATGTAAACACAAAAACCATTTAATTCAAATAAATAACACTAAAAATCCAAAAACTAGGATGTGGAATTGAAAAGTAGAAAAAATACTTTGGTTCAACCATTAAAAGAAGCATCTTGGAATTTAGAAGATGAAACTAATGTCACCGGGAATAAATGGTATGATGTACTAGAAGACTATCAATAGAGGATCTTAAAAACTTAAAAAGGTAATGGATTATAAACTAAAGAAGCTTGATGGTTGAATGATGAGGTTCAAACTGCAGTAAAAACAAAAGAAAGTGCTATAAAACATGGGAAAATAGAAACAAAGAAAGTTTTACACAATACAAGTTAGCAAATAAAGAAGTTCAAAAAGTAGTAAGAGAAGCTAAATATAAAGCATGTAATGATCTTTATTCTAATCTGAATATAAAGGATGGAGATATACATAAATATATCTATATAATAAAGTAAAGCGCGTTTTGAATCCCAAAATTTATCTCAAATTTTTTGCGGCTCAAATCAATTATAAGTAAAAAAAAGGTTTAATCCTACAGACTATGTTATCTTTAGCTTTTCGCGTCCCATATCACTTCAAAAAGATTGATCCGACAAAATAGATGCACTCTTAAAATTTTTCCCACCCATAACATCCCTTTCTAGTCCACTTAATCACGGATCTCTACCCGTTTGGCCCTCTCTCACGCACTAATAACTATCTTCCCTTTGTCCAGCCCCCAATCATGTGCCTCTCTCTCCCGTTAGGCTATTACCCCACTTATTTCTCTCCCTTTTTTCTTTCATCCCTCCCAATTCTCTCTACACTCTCTTATATCTTTGCCGAACGGAACCGGCAACCCCAGCCACCCAGCGACGCTTGAGAACAGCTGCGACCCACCACCTCTCTCTCTCATATATGCAAATTGTTACTTCAATCCTATGCGAATTATTTTATAAACCGATCACAATTCCTCTGCATCTGCATGGTGATATGGAGCCTGGTTCATATTGGTTTAAAAACATATAAACTGATTGGTGTGGATTACCCTGCCAGAAGAAGAACCCAAGCTTGTTGTGAGTGATTGGTTTCACAGTTGTTAGCTTCCTTGGACTTTTTAGCCTTGTTCCACTACACAAGGTATTTCCTGCTTCTATGTTGCTTCACTTTTAAGTCTTGTTCCGCTACGTAAGGTACCTCCTAATTATATATATATTGCTTTGGTTTGTAGCCATCAGTGCTAATAATAAGATAAATCAACATGAATGCCCTTCTGGGTGTACATGTCAATGGTCGATGAGTTGAACCTAGAACCTAATATACTTCCAACCTTTTGCTTCCAAGCATGCTTGTAAATATTTTGTCCAATCTCTGATGTGGTGAGATAGTCTTGTTGTTAAATGAAATTTGCCAAATTTTTGTTTCTTCCAGGTTGTTTTTGGCCAACACCATGTCAAATCATGTATCGGAAGGTGTATCGTTTTTTAAAAATCGTGTATCGTAAGATATGCACAATTTTTTATTAATAAAATATATATATACCTTTGTAAAAAGGTCGTAGATTCATAATAACATAGCATTTCATTAATATTTCACCAACTATTCAAGTTTCTAACATAATTCAGTAATATCAAAATACAAAAGCCTCTAATTCAAAATTCTAATATTAACTGTTTGAACAATTTTAATATTAATCAGTAATTTTGAATTCAATTGAACAACATTAATAACAATTTTTTTTTTTAAATCGTGACCAGTAAAACGACATCGTTTCACTGGTTAGTGATTTAAAAATAAGTCCTAGGGTAAAACAATGTCATTTCAGCCCCAAAAAACCAAAAAAAAATAAAAAATTTGTCACGTATCGTATGTGTTAGATGTATAGTATCGTACGATACAATGCAAAAACGATATAGAGGCACGATACGTATCGTTTTTTAAGTGTATCGTGACGTATCGTACGATACTAAACTGTGGCCAACACTTATAAAAAACTAAGTTATAGGGCTCAAGTGTAGACATCATAGTCTTTGTTGTGCTTTATGACTAATATAACTACTTGGATATCTGGGTTGGTAGTTGTGAACTTTTTTTTTTAAAATTCAGTTTTGATAATCATTTGGAAAAATATCATCAATTAGTGATACTAATTGGGAGCTACAAGAGTCCTCTAGGGATTGAGTCTTAACAAATCTTTAGACTAAAATGATTGACATTTAGTTTTTATTTTATGTTTCTTGCTTACTCTTTATGTGTTATTTCAGGTTGTGGTCATGGATTATAGGCTAACATAGCCAAGGGAGAACCTATGTTGATCAATAGTTTCCACACAAATACTGCTGCTGAACTTGCAAAGTATGTGACCCATTACAAATTTCTTTAGTGTTTTGTAAATCCTAATTGTCAAGAAGCAAGACATTTGGGGAAACCTACCTTTTTTTTTCCAAATAAAAACAAAATCAAGAAGTATATGGATGAATATGGAAATGATTTGTTGTTACTTGTTAGAATCATTGTCGGACATGTGTCTTCATTGTAATACTAATGTTGTTTTCCAGATTTTGTTCTGTTTTTGCCAGCTACAAGAGGTCTAATCTAGGTTCAAATCATCAATTTTACTCACTTAAAGTCTGACATGAGCTGAGAAGAATGGAAGGTGCTAATACTATTAGAGAAGCATGATCAAGAGTTCTCTTGTTGTTAGTGATGAGTTTTGAACCCCCTTATTCTCTTCAGCTGTAATGCTAGCACATATTCAACTGTGCTAAAATGACATTCAAAGTTGTCATTTTGTTGATTGAACTTATTTCTTGTGGTTTTATACTTCATGAGTACTAAAAATAAGGCCTGATGATACTCCAAAAATTCTGCCAAGAATTTTGATATAATCCAAAAATCAGTACATTATGTCACGAAAGACATAAAAATTGTTTGAAGAGCCACAAAGTGAACACTATATTATTATGTGTTGCCATCACCTTTTTCTTTTCATTTTTATCAATAAAGACCTATCAAGCACATGTCTAAATAGTTCACTGAAACTTTGGTCAATACTTGATAGGCATATGGAATGTGCATTCCTCAATATCTAATGGTATTTTTCTGGCCTTGTTTTTATTATAGTGGTGAATCATGAAGATTTAAATTGTTGCTTTCGACCTTTCAAAATCAAATGTTGATGTGTACGGTGCCAATGGAAAAGAAATATTTGGAGAGTTTCAATCAAGATATTTTCTCAATGAATTTTATTTCTAGCTAAAGCATATTTGTCTTTGAGAGGTATTGCTAGACTAAATTATCGAAAAGTAATTTTTGGGTGTCATCTTCTATATTGTATATGGAGTAAGAGAAAGTTAGATATGTATTGTTGGTGACATACTCTACGACTAACCAGACTTTTTGTATCACATTTTATTTGTCATCGTATAGTTTGATTTGGGAATAAAATAAAAAGTAAAAAACAAAATTGAGTTTCTAAATTATCTACGCACAACGCACGTGTACACCAACTAATTCATATAAAAATAGACAACTAATATTTATTTTTTATTTTTGATAAGGGTTCCCAATTGAATCATAGTCCATGATGATGTACCTACAAATGGTTATTCAAGTATAAAGGTCACCAAAATAAAGAAATAGCAAGGGTAACAATTTGGGGAAGGACTATAGTCTAGGATGATCTGGATCACGAGTCGATTTGGGGTTTGAGTTAGGATTTGGAGTCGGGAATTCAAGTAATCTAGGTCGCATACCCACACAATTTTTCGTCGTGTGACCCTAGTTCGTGGGACACTAGAGACATCTACAACCCCTATATTGATATTTCAAAGTTAGTGAAAATCTCATTATTAGAGTAATAGATGGGATTGACGGAGGATTGATATCCTCCATCATATTTATATTTGTCACATGATGTGTTCTTTTTACTATGGAAAGGTGATTATTGCAAGTCATAAAAATCAAGTGAGTATAATGGAAATGTAACCTTTTGGATTTTGTGTGTCGTGGATATCGAACTTGTACACTGAACCACGTTAAACTTTTGTGTTCACATACTCTTCCATTTTCCCTCCCTGTAGTCTCTTCATTTATA